TCACTGGTCTTTATCAGCCTCTGCTCTAACAAAGTCACAACGTTAAAGGTGGGGTAGCTCGTACACAGCAGTAGGATAGTCCTTAGCGGAGAAGGCCTTGTTGCCCTCTGCTTTCAATGCGTCAGCCATGTTGTAAATGATATGCTAATTGCTCAGTAAAAGGAGGAAGATCAAAAAACTAGACCACGAGGAACTGAATGTGATGAGCTCATCAGTCGGTCGGGAGCTTCTCGAAATTTCCGTCTGTCTCCACTGCCTCAGGCAGAATTAATTTAAGCCTCAGGCAATAGACACCTCAGGTGTCTAAGCTGACATTGAAGCTCCGCTGGGCTAAGCCCTTTTAGGTCAAAGTCGCTCCCCGCCGAGAAAAAAAGTCGCCAAAAAAACACCGTCTGTGATTCATTCGTGACTCAAATCTACGGACATCGACGCAACATGGTCCTCTAACTTACTCCTTGGCTCTAACATGCTCCCTTGAATATGAAAACTCCCGAGCCTCTTCGAATGAACCTTGATTTTGCCTGAAATCTCCGTCGCATCTCCAACAATGGCCTCCGCGGGGTCTCAAGTGGCCGAGCTTGCCTCCAAGCTCTACGATGCATGCGTGAATGAATTTGATTCTGATCACCTGTTCTATCAGAACGACTTTCTCAATCTCAAAGTGATCCCAAAGAATGACGTCGCGCTACTACTAGAATGCACCCAGAGCCTCGTCAATCAAAATCTCTTTCGACTTCTCCAAAAAGATGGAAAGCTCACATGGAAGCTCATTGACCGCGAGGATGCCGAAAAGTAGGAATCGCAGAAATGCCCCTGTCGCTAGATCATACAACTAACCCCTCCTTCCTCTCAGGCTCCGCAACCTCACCCCGGACGAGGCCATGGTCTACAATGTCATCCACTCCACAGAACGAACAGGCATCTGGGTGAGGCACATTGGTAACCGCACGAACCTGCACAAGTCGATCCTCGATCGATGCCTGAAAGCCCTCGAAGGGAAAAACTACATCAAATCCCTTCACAATGTCAAATACCCCAGCCGCAAGATGTACATGCTGGCCGGGCTTGCTCCGAGCGAAGAAGTAACCGGAGGAGCCTGGTTCACAGACGGCGTACTGGACGCCAACTTTATCAACAGTGTCGCAGGCTACATCGAGTACACCGTGAGCCGGAGGAGCTGGTTCGAAGTCCCCGCATCCGACCGCAAGAACAAGCGCATCAAGACCGCCTCCGGCAAGGCAGAAGTCAAGTCCGATGAGAAAACTTACCTACCCTACCCTCACGGCTACGCAGGATACCCGACCGTGGCCCAGATCACCGCGGCTGTCAACGACAGTGGCATCACCCCCGTCCGCCTGGGCGAAGAGAGCGTCGTGCAACTCCTCGAAATGCTCTGCTATGACAACAAACTCGTCGCATTAGGCAACGGCGAGTGGTACAGATCTCTCAAGAGTCCCGAGGCCGTCAAAGCTGCCCAGTCCCGCAAGGCGCCTATCGAAGGCGACGATCTTTCCGTTGCAAACAAGCACCTCGTGAAAAACGGCATGACAGAAGCACCCTGCGGCCAGTGCCCAGTGTTCAAGCTGTGCGCCCCAGGCGGCGCAGTGAGCCCCGAGACCTGCGAGTACTTCGACCCATGGCTGAGCAATGGGCTTGGGTTCTGAGTGGATTGACAATGGCGTTTCCACGAACATCTGATTTCTGACTTTCGGCGCACTGTGTGCGCCCGTGTGCCAACATCTCTGCATGGAAGAAACAAAAAAAAACGGGGATATGTGCATAGCGATGGCGTTTTCGACTTGATTTGGTTAGGCTCCGGCTCACTGGTCACCCTGGGAATATTGGGCACTGGATATGGGCACGGCTTGGACATACGCTTGGCTTTAGCTGGGAATGAATACCTAGAGGGTGAGGGACCCTGCTTCCTATATTCCCTCGAGAATTAGTGTCAGTTTTTGTCTACGATAGACAGAAGATGAAATTGATTCCGTTTAAACAAATTTGAATTATGCAGTAACAAGTAGGAATGAGTAGATATTTTTACAGCCCAGTCTCGCCCAATACCATTAAAGTCCCTCAAACGCCGTGGGTATATCAACCGTCATACAAATCATAGAAAAAGAAGAGAATAAAAGATCATTTACCCAGAGTACGTCTGCACTCATCACAGTACCAAGTCCCTACCGGCTCGCGTGTCAAGCCAACACACTTCCAGTGGAACCACTCATAGGGACACTCATCATTGTCGCAAGCCACCATATCCCCGTGGCTAACAGTGCGACAGGTACAATAGACCTTCGAATCCTCATTGCCCTCATCCTCATCCTCGTCATCAACATCCTCATCAGCAGCACCGTCACTCTTGTCAGAGTCGGATGTATCAGCACTGCTAAGCATAGAGTCATCATCCTCATCTCCTTCTCCATTGGGAGATTTCTTCGAAGACTTGATGCGACCACTAGCACTGGAAGAACGTTTGATAGGCTTCCCACTTGCAGTCTTCAGCTTCTTGACTTGCTGGTGTGGCGCGACCTTCTTGGTCAGGGCTTTCTTGACGCCGACACTAGCACGGGGGCCGACACTGCCTGCACGGCTGCCAGCCGGTGTACCAGGCTTCGGTGTACCAGGGCCCGTGGAGGTCTGGCGCAAGTTCGACGAGGCTACGGGGAGAGTGTTGGAAGAGGGGTTCAAGCGGCGGCGCTTGCTGTCCACTGCCCCGGCAGAGGATTCGCGTTGGCGTTGCTGGAGGTGTACAACGGCTGCAGCAGCGGGTGTAGCAGGTGCTGAACTGCGTGCCGCAACTTGTCCGATTTGAGTTGTAGATCCGGGTGTGCGAGGCGTTGTGGATTGGTTTAAGCGTTGGGCAGCAGCTAGGATGGGATTGGCATTTCCAGACGTCGGGTTGAGGGGAGCTGAGTAGGCAGGGGAGTCGGAGGGGGCAGAATCAGGTAGAAAGATCTTTGGTGGGTTGCGGTATTTGTTTTTCGAGTCGAATAGCGAAGGGAGAGGCGGGTCGTTGCTGAGGAGGCCTTCGTTGACTAGATCGCGAATGCGCACGTCGAGTCGTTTGATCTGACGATCAAGGAGAACACAAGCCTTCTCGCTGAGCTGAATCTTCTCATTCTGCAGCTCGTAGGATTTGTCCATATTCTGAAGAATAGTCTTGCCGTATGGCTCTTCTTTGGGGTTCGGTGTCAGACTGCCGTTCAGTTTGATGAATTTCTGAATGCTGCTGTCGCGCGAGTTGATTGTGGCGCGGCACTCCTGCATAACCTTGTCCTTGGCCTGGATTTCCTCCATGAGATGGTTGATCTCAGCCGGAAGATTCGCTACATCATGGACGAACTGCTCTAGGACAGTTGCGCAGTCCTCCGCACCGTGTGCCATTTTGGATTCGGTCGCAGGGCGGGTTGAAGGTGGCTGCTATCGGGATGGTAACAGGGCGATGTGCAGGGCAATCGGATTCGATGTAAGCGTTCAGTCCGGTCTTGATATTATTGTATTGAATTTTGGATGACTAGATGAACGTCAGGCCTTGGCTCACGTCGATATTCACACCCATCATGGGAACAAACTAATTGAAGTCGAACATGTGCTGACTCATTAATGACTCATCTTCGGATCGGCACCATGAATATCCGAAGTATAGGCGTCTTCCTACCTTGAAGATTCTAGAATAGTATTTGAACAACTGCAATGCTATACCTCTTGTGATCATTAAAACACACTCCTGTGTTCCAACCCTATAACTAGCTCCCATGACCCCACCAGCAACTAGAAGACCGTAATCAAAGTATGTTGGGGTCTAGTGTTGTGTTGTTCTGGTGGATTCAATCCGGACCAGTATAGAAGGCACAATCTTGAATAACTACACTTCGTGTATCTCCTAGATCTATCCCTGCCAGCCCAAACTTTAGACCTTTTTCATAAACATTTGAAAATTCCTATATCAGGCCACTTTTCATCTCAGATTGGCTTTTTTAGGATGGCTCTCTAGATCCACCTCAAGGTGAGCTCTTCGGCCCCTGAAGCAAAGTAACATGCTATCTAAAAGAGCAAGAACGGGACAGTGCAATTAGCACTTGATAGGAAGGAATTTAAGAATGAGATCCATTACAGGGTTACAGGGGATTCTAAAGACTGTCACTACAATCAATATTCTGCCGAGCAGAAAATCGTATTATACACCGGGCATATATTTAATACTATCTATATCCCTTCCCCGTATAAATGCTATATTTAAGCCCAACATGAGTTTAAGTGGAAGGGAGCAGTAGTGCGTAAGGGCTTCTACGACTCGAAAGACTGCTGGAAAGACCACCAGAAAGTCTACTTAAATGTCTGCTTGTCAATTTTCCACTAACATTGACCATAACACTCTTTGAAAAGCTCGCTGCTACCCAAATTAGCACTCCTTTTGTCGGAGCTTTGCTTTTCGAGACTTCCTTTGCCTTCTCTGATATCAGTCCTTCCACCCGTTCTTATATCACCTTTCCTCGTCCACTCAGGAGCTTGCATTTCTCGAAACTCTTTGCCTTTTTTTCATATCAGTCTCTTCACTCAGTCCCATATCATCTTTCTTCGCCTACTTGTTTCACAAACTATTCGGGATCCGTCTTCCAATTCCAATTTTCTATCTAATCATTCTCCCAATCTACCGTGGTCCTTCGATTATTCTTTCAAGTAACTTCGCCATCTCTCGCCAGGTCACTACAGCACACCTGCTTGAAGCCACATTCCCGAGACACTTTTTGATATCTTCGGCTCGTCACCAATACTCATTCTTTTCTCGCAATGCCTTATTCCAAGACGTCCAAAGGTGCCCACAAACGTGAAAGGTCAATGAACACCACGTCAATCAAACCTTCGAGGACCCCAAAGCCTAGCTCTGCCACCGAATCCTTCCATATCTCGAAGGACGACAGAATATGCAAACTATGGCCAAGTCTACTGCGTCAGATTGTTTCGAAGATCGACCATGCCGGGGTTTGCATAATTACATGTGTTCGGCGGAAAGCCCCCAATGCTACAAACATTACAACCACGGTGCTCGTTGTCTGCAATTCAGAAAACCCCCTCACCACCGTCACACATCGATTGCCAAGATTCGAGAACTTCTCAACCGCAATCGCCTGGAAAGTGTCGCTATCGAGTTTGCACGTGGAGACTTTACCCGTGGAGTGTCAGACCTGCACCAAGAAGAACTGGATCATCGAGCTGTTCAACTACCCTCGATGATCAGTCAAAGCCTTGCCCTCGAGAATACTAACAGTTCGGGGACTTTTGGGGGTTTCGTTGAACTCAAGATGCCCGGCGAAGCTCGGTACAGGGTACTTGGGCTAACCTGTTTTCATTGTGTTTGTCCCAGCGAGACTGAGTTGACCCCGGATCTTATTGAATTTATCCAGCGATGGCGCACTTCTGGAATTAAACCAGCGGACCATTGGAGGCAGAAGCTTCGGGTCCGACATCCAAGCTCGATGGCGATCAAAGATAAGATCCAATCTTTGAAAGCTGGAATTCGGGAGATCGAGAGGGACGAAGACTACATCAAGTTCCGAGAGTTAGAGAGAAAGGAGCTGCAGTTTACGTTGGGCCGAGGGGCCAAGAAGGCCTTTGACCAGATGGTCGAGACCCGGAATCATATGCGAGGATTCCTCCGTGATTTACACATCTTCGAGGCCCGCAATCGGGGAGCTTTTGGCCATGTTTTTGCTGGATCCGGCTTGAGGGCAACATCTACAAGCCCGTCTTCAAACCTAGACTGGGCTCTGATCGAAGTTCCGCCTGATCGAGTTAGTGAAAATATAGTAAGAGTCTTCTTTGCTTTGCCAACTTTCTGATTTTGTTTGAAGCAAATGCTAATACCACATCTACCTTCAGACTCCTGACGGCCATTATCTCCGAGACTCTCCAATCCCCGCGAATCTTGATGGCATGCCACTCTTCATTCACGGTCAACGTTCTGGGTATTGCAAAGGCAAAGCACATCCACTTGAGAGTGCCGTTCTCGAGGGTGTGGTGGAAGATCAGGTAATCAAAGAACGTCTAACTTACGAGCATTCAATTCTTCCAATACAAGGCCCTCGATTTTCCCAAGCCGGCGATTCTGGATCACTCGTGTTCACCGACTCTTATGTGGTTGTTGGCATGCTTTTCGCTGACGGTAATAATCACCAAATTTCCTATTTCACACACATAAACCACATCCTGGATGATATCAAGCACATCACCAACGCTACTGATGTGCGGCTTAAGGTTCATCGCCCTAGGACTCCTGCCTAGCACATCTACATCCTCTCACCCGCTCATCTACAACTTCTCCCCACCATGTCTTGCTTCCCTTTTATTCTATCAAGGACTTTATGAATCGACAAGTTTCTTTGCTCTTGGCCTTGCTTGTTTCTTTCCCCCCTTTGTTTTGCATTTCGGGTTCAGTGGTTCCCATTTACCATTGTCAATATTCAATTCAGTTGGTTCAATGAAATGAATGAACCGGCAAATTCTATCCATCTTTACATTTATGTAGAAAAGATTTTTTTTGTAGCAATACTTATCCATGAGCTAATCAGATTGTAGCTAATTTATGCTTGTTCAATATCAATTTCAATATCAGAGGAATGGAGAGTCACACAGTGCCGGTCTGATGATTTCTTAGTCTTGGGCGATTTTAACGAGCCCGTGAGTTCATTTCTGCCCCCGAACCTCACTCACCCTCTTGAATTTTCGCCTTTCATGATAATGACCCCTACCATGGGAAGATTGAACTCATCCAGAATGTGCACAATCTGATCCCTTGTGTTGCGCCAGTCTCGATTGCTTTGATATTTAACGCACATCACCACAGCCCGCAGTAGCTTCTCCTCATCCTGGCTCATTCCCACTGGCCCTGCTGTAAGCATGGTCATATCCGTCAGATCAACCGTGGCCATGATTTTGCGTTTTAATTCCCCGTGCACTGGCCAAATGGGATCGGATTCTTGCATTGGCCGGTAGAAAAAGGTGTTCACATCCAGGTCTGATATTTCGATGTTGACTTGTCCAAGACCAATGTCGGAAAAGTGCTTCCAGATCTGGCGACATGCCAAGATCCAAGAGTTGTCAACGGTGGTACGGATGGCAGAGAAGATTAAAGTAGGCACAAAATTGAAAAAGTCCTTTGTGTGCTGGCACTCCCTAAGCCTCATATAGAGCGGGCGGATATTATGTTCCTCAAGGATTGAGCTAATTTTTCGAAGGATAAAGCAATCCTCGACGAGGTCTCTCAGGGGGTCCTCGGGTTTCAATTTTCGCATTTGGACTGGGAAAGCGCAAAGATATGGCCCTCCGGCCCGTCTAGCTTCGTTGATAAATCCATCCGGTTCAACATGCCAGATACCAGTGTCGTCATTTCTATCGCAGCTGGTTCTAATGCGATGGCCATTTTGAACAGGAGAAGCGTAGGCACAAATGTAGTGAGAGCCTTTCGAGATGTTTGGCTCATCATCATCAATGTCGAGGGGGGCTTGCGATGATCTAGAGCTAGCAGACGAGAGAGAGCGGGGGCCGACTGGGGAGAACGTGTCAGAGTCATCGTCACTAGCAGAATCTGGAGTTTCGCGGCTTTTGGCATTAGGATTCTCCTGAGTGCAATTGCCGGACAAAGCGCTGAGCTCTTCCGGGACGAGGTTGTTGGGAGAGACTGTGTCAAGGTCATGGTTCGCTGCAGGGTTGCACAAAACAACTGTTTCTGCTTCGGAATCAGACTGAGAAGATGTATCCGAGATAGAGACTGATTGAGAACTCGGTTTTTTCTCGGACGAATCGTCAAACAAAACGCTTGTTTTCAACATGTTGCTCTCTGGAAAGGTTGTGTGAAGGCTGTCTGGGGACAAGCTATTAGGTGAAGACGAGCTGGAACCATTTGAGAAGAATGTGTCAGATCCCTCCTCAAATGCAGACTCGAAGTTTTCAGAAGAGCAATGATCAAACACGATAGCGTTTCTAGTCTCAAGGACCTCATGAGAGGATGAGGCGGAGTTGGTTCTGGCTTTGTGATCGAGACTGGTCGCCCCAGTAGGTTGAGACAGAGTAGCAGGTTGGAGCTCGGGTTCTTTCTCTGCGGGATTTTTGAGCATAGTAGGAAGAGAATGTTCGAGTCTGGGTCCCGTGGTCGCCTCAGACATAGCGATGGTTTGAAAGTATCAATAAACACTCAAGGTTCAGGCCGAGGAGTTGTGCAAATTCAAGAAGTGGGGGTGCTGTTTACTGCCCTCTGACAAGATGTGGGATGAAAGAGTGTTTGAAAACTGATGGTGAAGGTAGAAAGAATGAGAAGATGAGAAGATGAGTGTTGAAGAGAAATTGTGGAGAGCCCAGGTGGAGTCGCGATGTGCGGCTCGGAGGTCTTGGCAAACCTTAAAAGGGCCCAGAGAACAGGAAGTCAGAAGTGTTTGATAGATCGCTCAAATCTTGACCTCATTCCTGAATACACAAGAAGGCCACGGTAACCTCTCAATTAAACGACTCTTGTGAGGCTAAGGGACCTCTGATCAATATCTTCAAAGACTAGCTAGAATATAAGTCAAGCTCTTCTTCAGTTCACAACCCTCAACAGATTGATGATTGATATGGTTGTCATGAGGCTGAGAGCGCCACCATGTTCATCTTGTGGAAAGTATTCTCTTTTTCATGACGGTGACTCGCCCAAAACAGCTCCTTAGTCCTTGATCCAGTATCGTGAGTATCAGTCTTCAATATGCGCAGTACTAGTCTACTTGAACCAAGTGAGAGTTTCACAGGTTGGCCCACCAAGAGGCTACTGGTACTTTGTACCGATAGATACACAAATGACTAAAAGGAGAGGTATTATAATTGCATAGTGAAGTATCATTTGGTGGGATATCGGCCCTGCTACATAAGATACGCGGACAATATCAACTACATAGTCCAATTCAATAGTGACATCGTCATAGTTTCTACCATTTTAACAAAAAATTTCCACTTTTAAATTGAAGGACTCAGGTGACATAAGCTCTATATTTATCTACTACACCGATATCCAGGAATTGAGCGGATAGAATCACCAACATAGCCCCATGGGGGATCACAATTTCCAGTATCACGGTTGAAAAGATAAATGCGACCTATCACTCATTTGAGTATGCTTTGTGAAATCAGTAACTTTATAGTGAGTTTATGGGACTCTTACCATCTCGACACTGACAATATGTGCCAACACCGCAGTGAGGGCTCGCACTATATGGCTCTCAATCAATAATTTGGTATGGCTTTATGCTTATATGTGTCCACCTACAATGGATAGCATCCACTTGCAGGGAGAGAAGCGTGGCTACTCGCCTCAGCCGCTGGGGCTGCTAGTACCATAGCACCCGTCATAAGACCAAAGAACAATACAGCGGTCCGCATTGTGAAGGAGAGAAGGAAATTGTTGACTCTTTCGCAAAATCAGCTTTTTAGCGAACAAGAAAAGTGACTAGTGCTGGCTTGGGCTCTCTTTTATACCCTCTGCTGTAGGAATATACTAGCCTGTCTATGGTGTAGATTACAATCCCTTTGGCACACGTCTCACCAAGGCTTCCTTCTTGCTCCGTCTATCCGTAGACAACTTACTCTGCTAGAAACCAAATATATTTAATATCCGCTCATTATTTGATGCCGAATGTAACATCATAGTGTCTGTTTTGGAACATTTTTTATACTATATCGACAATGAATACAGGTAGGTGAATTCGTTTCTTAGAAAGCTCATAAAGTGCCAGAGTCAAGCTAGACTAGCTAAAGCCGTTTTTATGAGCTTCCACACTTTTGGTATAAAGATAGCTTCTAGCTCTCAAGTGACATTTGGCGAACGAAGAATACATTGCGAAACCTATCCTCCGTCATACATGACAAATTACGATTCTCCGGAAGAGCAGTCGCTCAAAATTAACATTTACTTCGGAGTTCTTTAAAGCTGGAAGAAGTCACTCAAGCCAAGCTGAAACTCCGAGTTCAGGACAATGAAGTTATTGAAACTCCGTCGTTGTGAAAAAAGGGAAAATTGCTTCAAACACTTTAACAAATGGAATGTCTGCATTCACTTCCACCATAATCCAATCACCCGAAAAGAGGCAAGGTGTTTCCGCAGTCCCATAGAATCAGGCCTAGGAAACTGGCCTATGTCTAGTCTCTTGGGAAACTGCTAGATTCTCTTTATAGGTAATCTATATATTTCAATCAGAAGGTAGAATATTTCCTGCTTTATGAGACGTTAATATGGATATGTTTTGCTGCATCTCTTGCGTTGGAGATGTAGGTTTTCTTTGTGTCTAATAATCCTGGTATTTCATGTGTGAAGTATCGTTTAAATATTTCCTTTCCATCATGTTTAAACCTGCCTGACTTTCATAAGTTTTTCTCTCCACAATAAGCTACAGAAACGAGACTTATCTCAATTATCTACGAAGTTGCCGTTGCTGGGTGAGAAAGGCAAACGGGTGCGCCAAAGCACCAGCCCCTCCTATATATTGGACCTGTTTTATATCATTTTACTCACTTCCTCCCCTTCACTTCCCTTGCAGTATCTTTTTTCATCACCGTGTGGACATATTATATAATGTTTCAAACTTCATCGGCCTTTTGGTAGGCGAGCTATCATTCTGCCTCTTCTGCCTTTGATCATCGAAGATGCTCAAGGTATCAACTATCACTGCTGTCGAGCTCTACGAAGTTCATCTATGTGGGTAAATCGACATTTAAAGAGTTCATTAGAGATGTGTCGCTGATATTATCTTTTGCCCCGTGGAAGAAAGCTGCCTTATCTCTAGAACTTGCTCTCTGGAGCTTGACCCCAGGTCTTTCCGTCCCCAGAAGCGATTTCATTGGTACAATACCCTCCGCACCGCTATGTCATCTGGAGAAATGGCAACAAACCGTGATCGATTTCCCACGGCTCACAGACTGTCAGCTCGAGCCATCGATGGGAGGCATTAGGGTCTTTCCGCATGAACACATTTCCGGCCTCCAATAACCACCCTATCTGCGAAAAATGGGGTGGAATCTTGCGAGTAATAGTGGAAAACATGAACCGCGCTGGGATATGCATAATTGCTTGCGTACAGCGAGGTACGGAAGTTGAAAATAGCACAACTACAGTGCTAATAGTGTTTGACTCGAAGACACGTCCAAGACATGGAAAAGAGACCAAAAGAAACATTAGAAACCTTCTTGATAAGAATCACTTCTTCGAGGTGATAGTCGAATTTGTTCAATGGAATTCATCAGAGGGGGGTCCAGCCTGAGCGGAAAGGAATTGGATCACCAAGCGCTACAGCGGCCATGCATGATCGGCCAGAGCCCAGCCTTGAAAAACGCACCCCATATCAACAAATGTCGGTGGATCATATCTACAAGTTCTTGGACAAAAATGGTTTGGGAGATGTCACAGTTGAGTTCGTACGCAATTATTGTTTCAAGTTTCATTCAAAGTGGGAATTGGCTTCCTTCCATACTCCCGATCGCCCTTCTATATGTTGTGTCGCTGCCTCCCACCCTCCCCCCCAACCGCCAGCCCCCTGGATACACTTGGAGATTTGGTACAAAAGACACCACAAAGCACGCGGAGGATGCTTATGGTGATCAGCCGACCCGGCCAACGTTTTGCCCACGCGGGAAGGATCTCAATTGTGCCGAGGTGTTTGCCTCAAAACTGGATGGAGAGAAGCATGTCAAGGAGGTCCACAACTAAGTGAGATGGTCTCAACCTTGAACGCTATTACCACGAACTACGAAGCTTCACCATGCGAGATGCGAGTGACTTCGAGGGACGAAGAAATACACGCATGTATATGCTATATCCGTCGGCGAATAAAGATCTAGAGTTTCACTTGAGCAGCCGTGCTGCACAGTTTTCTCTAACATATAAAGAGCCCCTGTCAGACTTGATAGGCTTTTTGCAGGGTATCCGTGTGTTCAAGGCAGCAAAGGGTGATTATATCGGAAATTTATGCCGGTTGAGGGCTCAGAACGGCAGATTCGAATGGGAATCTGATTGGGTCTGGTCGAAGTTCCATATTACCGGGTGAGAGAGAACGAACTCGGAATCTTCACTCCTTTTACACACCAGGGATGACTAGATCTCCCGGAGCAAGGACGAAGATTGGGCAACCCCTATGGGATACTTGGACTTGATCGCCGATAGAAAAAACCGAGAATGGATTCGGCTATACGTCGGACAGTGTGTAGAAGTCTTGCGCAGGGTGGTCAATGAACACGCCCAAGTCCAGTCAGATAAGCTTCCTGTTTTTACTTCATTTTTCTGCCCATTCTTCCGCACGATTGTACATTCGAAGTTGTACATCACCTTCTTCACCTCGTTCTGAGGAACGGTACTCATTTGCGAGTGAAGGACACCCCTTCAAAGATGGGGCACGCCGTGCCCTGCAAGACAAGCTTGCCGGCTTTGAGGGTGGTCCCAAAATATTAAATATATCATGCCTTGGGCAGTCAGGGATTCCGAATTTATCCCACTTCTCAGAGCTACGAGCGTCTATACGAACCCTGCAACCGAGTAAAGATCCTGTGGATGCACTCCGGCACGCAGAAGACAGCCTATATGCTTCCTGGGCCACAATTGACCAGAACATTGTTAGCAAAGCCGGTGATTTGAGTGACACGGCTGTACGAGACCTCCTCTCCCGGCTGCGGATTTTACTTCGTACTCGGGAGTGGATTGAAGAAATGGCTCTTCGCCAGGAGCACCCGTACAGGTTAAATCGGCTAGCTTATTGGACTTTCTCTCAAATCTGGTCTGATTTTCCGCTGAAAGCACTTGAGGTAAAGACAAAATTCAAGACCAAAGGAATGCACCTGTGCTTATCATATGAGAAGTTAAAATAGCTCATGCACAATTAATTTTATGACATATACGAACAAGGAGATGAACGGAAACATCAAAAAGATACCAAAAAAGGATATTTTGAAGCTCAAGACTAATAGAACTAGGAGTTTCAGGCGGCAGTTATAGATAGGTTTTGCTGCGGATCATCCTCAATTTGCTTGAAGGAGCTTCTTTAATAGCAGTGGATAGAATTATATCCAGTCCCTCGTATCAAAGTCAACAAACCAAGTGAAAAAAGTGAAAAAAGTGAACAAAGAGAACAAAGATAACATAGACTAATTCCCGGAGTCTATACCATTCTCACTCTTCACCCTCTCCTCCTCTTCTGCCGTAGGCTTCCTCCCCCAGACCCTCCTTCTATGAAACATCAGCCAACCCGCACCCACACAAATCAAAAGGAGAAAGTAGAACTTACGCATACTGCCACGTGTGAATACGCGGATCCTGCAAGTCCTTCCTGACCTTGGCCAGTAAGACCTGTACTTCTTCTTTCGACCACGGCGTCGGAACCCCAAATTTAGTCAGGAGATACATGCCCCAGCCCTCCATACCAGCCGTCCACTGATGATAGTGCAATCTGCCGGCTTCTTTAAGCGTAAGGTCTCGCGCCCATGGGCCAACAGGCCATCTATACTCTTTCTCATGGATGTCGACAAAGCCCGCCTTTTCCATTGCTGCGCGCATTGTGTCCAGCGTGTCGAGGGGATGATTCCATTCCTTCCCGGCGCGGAACACCGCTTCTGTAAACTGGACTATGCTGCAGTCCGGGGACATGCTGGAGTCTGAGCAATTGATTCGAGGGTCGCCTTCTACTTGTTCGATCCAGCCTCCTGGGTTCAAGTTTCTGTTGGGGGTTAAATTTGATGTTTAGGAAGGAGGGTGCGTAGACAGGCTTACTTGTAGCACTGGCTGAATAAACCGTCCCATTCTTCCGGCGTGAAAGCGCCTATTAGCTGGCGCATATGAATCAGGTCAAAGGGCTGGCGCCAGGTCCATTCTTGCAGGACGTCGTCGACTTCCATTATGCAGTTTGGGGGAGCCAATCTCCTGGTGGAGGGAAGAGGTCTACGCCTCTGACGGTTGCTGATTTACTTAGCTCGCTGTCTGGATGCTGGTACAACGATACATATGGGCATGCTTACCATTTGGAAACATGTCGGCTACATCACTTGAATTTGTTAATTGGTGTTCTTGGCTTGGGAAAAGTGTGCTCTTACATGGCCCAATTGCCTCGGCCTGTGCCGATGTCCAGGATTTGCTTTGATCTGGTCAGCGGAGGTTGTATCGTTCTGACTCTTGAATGTATACCTTGGGATTTTTAATTGGTGCTTGAAAGAGTGGGTTTTCGGTTTTGGCATCCAGGAGTATGCACAGGAGGTGACTGAGCGAATTAGTTTGTGTATATTGGTGTGGTGGCATCGAGCTCACCCTGCCTCTAGACTCTCAAATTGTTGCTCATCGGATGGACACCTGGAGAGAGATTAGAAGTGACATAATCGAGTTGAGCTTTGGGTATGTACCAAGATGCACCCTCCCTCACGGTCTGATACCTGATCTCTTGTCAATATCCGACCTCGGTAGATTCCAACATATGCATACCGTCTTCCATTTTCGAACACTCCCTTATAGACGGACGATGCTAAAGAGGTTGTTTCACTGCGATTTAGGTCAGAACGATTGATGGTCACCGATTGTATATACTTACGAGGCAAAATCAGTGTCTACATAGTCGTCGCGTCCAATATCATAGTAATCCGGGTCCTATAACGAATATTAGAATCCTGTCAATTACATCAAGAGTCTACTTACAATCTCAATTGATTTTTCCATGGTTAGAGGTACTCAGAAGGAAATAGTTGCAATTCTAAGAAGTGAAAAGAAGACGAAATGCCCATTATTCAACGTGGTTCATCGGCTAAAGGACACCAGAACCCATCAGGTAACAAGACGGATCAAGACGGATTCAAGACGGATACATGACTCTTTCCAGCTTTAGTGCTTCGACTATCTGCTAAACTGACCAACGACCTTACATTTGGCCCCTTGGCTTGCCCTTTTATCCACCTCTCGACCGTTGTAGACGATCGGAAGGATTGAACCAATCAGGGACAAATGAGAAAAATCCTTCCGGTCGCGAATGCAATCTTGAAGTGCGTTTTTTCCCCCTCTTTGTTCTGCAAAAGGAGAATATTGAGAAGAGATCAAAATTCGAGAGATGACAGTGTCAATTGCCTGGGGGGAAAGGCGGAGAGGTCGGCACTTGAACGACCTGCCATATCCAAATATGCAGACTTAAACCAATCCCTGTTCATATCCCTGTCCGTCATCCTTGTCAGCATGCAGCCTCTGATTGAATAGGTTTAAGGCACTACATCCCGCGTCTTGGTCTGGCATTCTCATTTCGGTGACGTCTTTTGAGATATTTCAGTCTCGGGGAGTACGGAGTACACACACTAGGATCGTTTGAAATCCTGTGTATGAGATACGAAGTACGGAGTACTCCGTAAGCGTACGGAGCACAGATTCCCACGTACCTTGCCACTACCGAGATGACTTAGGTGGGGTTAGGACACAGGTCGAATCTCTCAAGCCTCTCAAGCCTCCCAAGGCTCTCGGGTCTAGACATGACAACACACACCCCCTCCACAATTCATCTATACATATGAGGCTGACAACTTCTTCAGTCGAATCCCTGAAGCTGCTTGGACAATGGCCTTTCGTACAGAAAAACTCTCTCCTCTTTGGTCCGAGCGCTCAGCGCCAAATCCCGGTCAGTCATTGGCCCCGGCCATGAGAGCAGCACATCACAGTGCAACATGCATTGAACCAACCAACATCATCAATTACCCGCCCAACTCCAAGACAGGACAATTCTGCACTGCTGATCAAATCAACTTACTTAAAAGAATGCCATAGCCACCTCAAGGCGGACTTCTTCTCTTTTTTTTTTCTTCAGCGAGCGTTTGTTGTGTTTCTCTGCCTTATTCGATTGATCCTGAGCACTGGTTGCCTGGACTTTTCTTCTTTCTTTATCTCTTCTATACTATTAATTTTTTCACCATTTTTTTACCCTCAAACGAGCTGTGCTCTTTGAGATTCTGCCTTGCTTCGGATTCCCTCGAATTTTACAACTATTAACAGTATACTTGTCGCCGGTCGACTTGATTTCACTGTTTAACAGATATCTACAACAAACTCAATTTAATATAATCTCGCTCGATTATTCTTTCTTCTTTGTCGGACCGGTTCCCCAAAGATCAACAAAGAGTCCATATTCCATCAATTTGACAACCCAAGCTCCGGCAGTTTTAGGTTGTGCTAACTATACGATACTCTTGATCTTTTGATCCATACGACACCTTTTTTAAATTCCAACCTTTTTTTTGATACATTGATTCATCATGGCTGCTGTTCAACTCAAGTTCTCCCTCCGGACCTCGTCCAACGTCAAGACCGTCCACCTCGTTGGTTCATGGGACAACTACCAACGCCAGATCCCCCTCTCCAGCGAAGGCAAGCCCGGCGCCTGGGTTGGCAAGTTCCGCTTCCAGACTTCCATGCTCCAACTCGGAGGCCGCTACTGGTACTACTACATCATGGACGGATACCACGTCTCCCACGATCCCGCCGTCGAATACACCGTCGAGCCCACCACCGGCCGCAAGCTCAACATCCTCGATGTCCCCGGCGGTAAGCCCACCAGCCGCGCCTCCGCACCCAAGGTCAGCCGCAGTGATATCGCAACCGGCCGCGCTCTGTCTCCCTCGCGCATCCAGCACCCAAAGCCAACCAAGCACTACGCCTCCCGCCAACTCCGCGAAGCAGACTTCGCCCCGACCGTCGACGACCTGACCCGCCGCTTCGCTGGCTCCCGTCTGTCCGATGAGTATTCCTACTCCAACAGCCCACCCAGCTCCGCAGGATCATCTCTCTCGTCGCGCTCGTCATCCGGCTCTACCTCGCCCTCCTCGCTCTCGTCCATGAGCGAGCCCCCCGTGCACTGCCGCTGCGAACGCTACGGTATCACCCGCAGGGGTGACCGCGTCAAGCTCGACTGTGGTGGTTCCCGCTGCGGATATGTCGAGTCTTCCGATGACAGCTGCTCTGAGTCCGAGTATGAGAGTGATGAGGAGTACTGCCGTGCTCGCAACGCTGTTCGTCGCCAGGGTATCGTTGTCCGTCGGTAGATGAATATCTGGTGGTAAGGTTTGGAGGGTCAATGGATCCTGCACGCCTTGCTAGGTTGTTTTCTCCATTTGTTCTTGCGCTTGAAAGTTCCGGTCCATTGAGACATGGTCATGCGTTAGTTTTGCTTTTTCCGAAAAAAACCGATAAATATACCAAAAACAGCCCGGGCCGTGGGTGGACTGGTTTCGCGCTGCGGGTGGGCGGGGATGATGGTTGTCTGTGTGAGAGAAGGGGACGAGGGGGGCAAGAAGATGAGACGAAGAAGAAGAAGAAGAAGAAGAAGAAGAAGAAGAAGAAGAAGACATCGATTCCAATATTTCGATGTGACCAACACCCACCCTGGATCATCCAGCCTCGTGGACTCCGACAAGCTTATCTTGAGCCGGCCAAGATCTGACCAGCACAAGCCATAAGATGACAAGATCTGCCCTGAGCCTCCTGGATCTAAAGGAAGCCTGACCCAGATGAAAAACGGTATCTCGTCAACCAAAGAGCATCCCTGATGTCATGGATTTGTCCATGCTTTGGTTTAGGTCTTACTCTGAGATAACCAATGAATCATGAGATATGACCTGCGTCCATGTTCACTGTAGATAGAAGATTCATGTAGTTGTAGCTATGAGTATTAATTGATATAATGCTCTATGAATTTCCAGGGAAAACGTCCTTTCGACCCTACTTAGGGTCTACCAGTCGGAAATGCTGTCGAGACGCTAGATGTCTTCCGGAGGCATGGATATACATGTCCACGGTGTTGCCCTAGGAAGCATCACGGATTACTGATCCACCAAAACCCCGTGGGAAAAAAAAAACTACACATAAAGTGTTTCAATTCAAATATGTAGGGCCGGTTATTGTAATGCGAAGGCCAACGATCCTCCGAGACGCCGCGAAACAGGCCAAGCAGATACGCATTTTTCCAGCAAGATCATTAAAGTACAAATGTGAAGAATGGAGCAACCGTAAATCAACGCACCGAAACCCCAGAGCGATCGGTGAACATCCGAGCGGCAATGTTCATGGAGGCCAGCTCTTGGAACAACAGCTTGGCGGCATAGGGGATGTGGACTTGCGAGATACGGTGCTTGTTGTTGCAAAGGCGGCACTCGAAAAGGCCCTTCTTCAGTTTCCTATAAGGACGGTTAGTTGTGTCGCGAAAGGGTATAGGATAAGAATTGGAAAACTTACGCGACTGGTGTCATCAGGCCGCAGTCGTCACAGATATGAACACGGAATGGATCAGAAACATCAAAGAGACGCTCCTTTAGGAAAGCACTGGCACCATGGGCGATCATACAATCACGTTCCATCTCTCCGAAACGGAGACCACCATCACGGGCACGACCCTCCACAGGCTGACGGGTCAGAATCTGAGTAGGACCACGGGCACGAGCGTGGATCTTATCGTCCACCATGTGTCGCAGACGCTGGTAGTAGGTGGGACCCAAGAACACCTGCGCCACCAGCTTGCGACCAGTATGGCCGTTGAACATAACTTCGAAGCCACGCGACTGGTAGCCGTGCTCACGCAGAAGACGGGAGACAGAGTCGACAGTGACATCGGTGAAAGGAGTAGCATCACCCTCGAATCCACGAAGAGCAGAAACCTTGCTAAGCTGACATTCGATCAAATGGGCAATGGTCATACGGGATGGAATGGCGTGGGGGTTAATAATCAGATCGGGAACAACACCTTCCCGAGTGAAAGGCATGTCCTCCTGTCGGTAGGTGATACCAATGGTACCCTTCTGACCGTGACGAGAGGCAAACTTGTCACCAATCTGAGGGATCTTGGTGGTACGCATGCGAACTTTGACGAACTTCAGGTCGTCAT